AGCGGCTGCGGGGCTTAATTGCCGACTGAGGGTACACCGCAACACAATCTATTTCCCTTCGTTAATTCCCAGAAAGAAAACCTGTTGGTTTAAATCTTAATAGCCTTGTTTATGCAAGTTATTCTCCTTTTTGTAACTTTTGGGCTCTTATTTTCCATAAGACTGGTTAAAAGAAGACCTATTTAATTTATGCTTTGAAATATTAGGCCAAGCAGTATATCCAAATTAGCAGGGACAGCCTCTAATTTAATACTGAAGAAAACTGGATATAACACTAATTAGAAAGGAAAAAGCTTGATCTAAACTAATTACATTGATAAGAACCATACAGTACCAAATTGTACACTAAAGCATGTGACTGACATATAAAAACCCCATCACTACTGATGACAACTCATCTCGGTATTCTTAATTGTTGTATTTGCAATACAAATACGTATTTTGCTCACTGATTTTTCATAAAGTTTCATTTCAACACACAGTTATGGGTTAACAAGAGGAAAAAAATAGTAAGAAAGATAACAAGTCAATATACATAAAATCTTCATAATGAAGAAGGAGGAAATTAGAAGGTATCCTAAATACGTTCTCAACCTTACCAGGCTGTTCCTTTCTCTTCAGGGATCAGAGGACAGAAGAGATCTTTGTTTATCTATTTAAAGGCTATGTTTCTTTACCTGAAGAAAATAGACAAACTCCCTTTTTCTTTAGAGAACTTTCTCCTCACTTAAAAGGACTGCACATAAGCAATGACTCAAACACTACATCCAAAATGACTGTGATATCCAGAGCGGACACGGGCCCTAACTGCCTCTGCCACTAAAATTTTAACCTCAAAGTAAGTATTAAAATGAAGCACCTTTTATGTGTACATTTATATATCTTTAAAAATTATGACTTAAGCTTTCCACAATAAATGTATCTACAATGTTACCAATGAAATATACATTATTAAAGACTACCTCAGGTGGCAGCCACATGTACAAGAGGACTACAGAATGCCCATATGAAAAAATACAATTGAACTTACATCATGAGTTCTGCTCTCCATTCATTGTCTTGCTCTTCAGTTTGGTTTAACGCTTTAACAATCTGAGAAAGGCTGGGAATAAGACAATAGCGGAATCCAGGCTTAAGATATGGCCTCACAAGTTGCCAATAAAGAACTGAGGCATTATATATCAAAAAATAGTATCTGAAAAACAATAATCAAGCATTTAGTATTTCATGGACTTAGATAAACATAAAATTACAGACAGAGTATTTTAAGACACTTCTAGGAAGCAAAAATTGAAACTTTTCCTATGTGTTTAGATAAGAACCAATCCTGACTAAGAACTGGGAACAAAAGTACAGCACAAGAAGAATACGGTAACTTGCAACTACACTCTACCCAGTAATTAACCACTTAAAATAAGCTAACATGGTGCTCTCTTTCTACAGAGCATAAATATAAAAGAGGAAGAAACGCTCAGAGTACCTACCAGCCTTAAACAGGCTGTTTCATCCCATCTCTTTAAGACTGTTCAGTATTCTTATATTGTTGCAGAACTCACAGCAGTTACAGAAGGGCAGTAACAAAATGGAAGGAAAATCCACAAAAGCAAAAAAAACCCAAACAACACAACTCCAGTCTACCTAGTGAAAATCTGAGACAAACAACTATGAAAACCTAACTCAGTAACATTTCCTGAGATTTAAAGAGTTAATCCTATCAGTAGGGCCCACCTTCGATCATGGGTGGCAAAATCTATTGCCTTCATGAAAAACAGCACAAACTTTTCAAACTCTTCCTAGAACAGAACAAAAGAATTGTTAATGCAATTAGAATATGGCTTTCATAAATCAATACATTATTTTCCTATTTCAGTATGTTCACGTCTCATAATTTTTATTTTCAGACCAATCTCAAATAAAACACGCTGCCATAGTAAGTTGCTGCCATAGACACAGAATAACTAAAAATCAGTAGCATTGACTATTACTATGTTTTCCTGATTTCAAATTTTAAGACTATATTTTCACCATAGTCTTTCATTTAAGACTATTTCTTTTATTTCTCCCAAACTTTAATTAGCAGGACTGAAATTTTTCAAAACTGCAAAGCTGCATACTTTTTAAGCTTTCAGCAAAGAAGGCTCAGAAACATCCAAGAGCAAAGCCAGGGAAAAAAAAAATATTGGTTTGTCCCATTAAAAAACTTGAGGTATTATTTTCTTCAGAAAAGCTCCAACAAGAATTTGTCAGCTGAATGGTGTGTCAGGCATGCTCTTTTTATCATTAAAGCAGCTGGGAAGCAGCTTTTCAGAGGAGGACCCAGGGGTCCTGGTGGACACCAAGTTGAACACAAGCCAGCAGCATGCCCTTGCCGCAAAGGTGGCTAACGGTGTCCTGGGCTGCCTTAGGAGGAGTGTTGACAGCAGGTGGAGGGAGGTGATCCTTCCCCTCTACTCAGCACTGGTGAGGCCACACCTGGAGTACTGTACCCAGTTCTGGGCTCTCCAGTACGAGAGAGACATGGACACTGTGGAGAGGGTCCAACAAAGGGCTGCAAAGATGATGAAGGGACTGAAGCACATCTTGTATGAGGAAAGGCTGAGCGAGCTGGGACTGTTTAGCCTGGAGAAGAAGGCTTGGGGGGATGTCATCAGTATGTACAAATACCCAAAGGGAGGGTGTAAAGAAGATGGATGGGATCATAAAAACGGATTTTTGAAAGCCTAAGAGAAAGATGCAGTGGAAATGGCAAAGCGGAGGTGGAACTGGATGGGCAGGAAGGGGATGACACCAAGAGGGCTCCCTATAGTGAGACAGAACAGCATAACTAAAAACTCCAAGAGAGTTGGGATTGATTTACTGGACTCTGGGACTGGCATGAGAAGGCTACTGAGCAATGAGTGGGAACTGCCTAGATAAAGAGAAAACCAGGATTAAGAGCCTGAGAGGTATAAGATACTAAAGCAGAGAAGTTGCACTTGGCCCTGAAGAACATAAGCATCTTAATCAGCTAACAAGGATTCCTTAGGATGGAAACCAAAATAAGGACAAATTTATCTTTTCTAAGTGATGATTACTAGTCATACAGCATGAGACGTTGTGCCACTCCTATCTTTATAAATGATCTAGGAACACAGCAGTGGAAAAACTCTACAACTGATACAAAGTGTAGCTTAAAAGCACATTACAACACACAGCACAAGGGAACCAAGTTAGGATTGCACATACTGGGGCGGTTCTTAACTTGTAAGAAGTTAGCAAGAGCCAAGAAGAAAACAGCAAAATTTGGCTGAGATTTAGAAAACATCACAGAATAGTTTGTTTAATTTAGAAACATAAAAGGCTAACTGGACATTAGAAAAGACTTTTCAAATGCGTACAAAGTTTTAAAGGGACCACTGATCAGTTGTTCTGCACATGCGCTCAGAGAAGGCAGAGAAAGTACAGTTAACATGATAGGGAAAAGATTCTAGCTTGAAAGTTAATTCAAACACATTATTCAAAGAAACTACAGCAACATCTGCCAAGGAAATTTGCGAACACAAATAACACAAACACCTATTAAGGCCATTTTAGGGGGTCAGATATCATTGACAAAATTGTCAAAGCTGACTGATCACAGTATGAGGACAAGAGAAATAGTGAAGACTATTCTCCATTATGGATCCACTCCATTTCAAATTCAGCAGGAGGTAAAAACTGCTCATCGTGTACAGACACAGTACCACCGAATAGTAACACACAGAAGCTTTTAGAAGTGGAAGTATCCTGCTGAGTTGCTACCAGAAAGCTTCATCTCTCATTTCAAAAAGCCACATCCAAAGTACTACATGGAAAGGTTACTGGTGGAAGTGGTGGAAGCACATTGCCACAGAAGAGAAATGAACTGTACAACCTCTCTGAGGGCCCCTTTAGTCCTCCATTTCCCATGATTCTGTGAAATGCTTAGTGTGATCCTGAATAAAACTGGTAATTGTTTTACCAGTTACAGCTAAATTTGGTCTGAAAGTATCATATTGATGTAAAAAGTGAAAAGGTTGACTTTAAAAGAATCAACCGTCTGAAAAATTCTGTAAACATTCTTTTTTTTCCCTCCCCAAAGTATCTGCAATATTAGTCTAATTCAGCTGGTAAGTTTTGTTTACTCCCAAACTACCCATTAATATATTTTCCTTCGATTTTTCCCACAGTCCTAATTACCCTTGTGTATTTTAAATGACTGAAAGCAATACATAAAAACCTAGGAAGAAATACTCTTAAAAACTGGCTTAATACAATGCAACCTTCATAATTTCTCACCAAATTATCTGTAGAGAGTGGAGTGTGCAACTGGCCTTGGCACAAATATGCTCTGCCAAGAAACTGGTTCACAGGAAATCTTCCTTTAAAATACATCTGTAGACAGTCACTGCTCATTTCCAGATATCCCAGCTAAGGCCAAAAAAAGCATTTTAATATTTAAAAAATGCAACAAATACTTAATTAAGAATTGTTAGTTTTTAAAAATGCATGCCTACTCAAAGTGTAACACCTAGCTGCATACCAGTATGCAAACAATATTCCATAAAGCTGCATATCAGACCTGGTACAAACCCATTAAGATTTATCAAAATTTAAAGCTTGATTTTCGTCATTCCAAATGTATAGAAAAATAGCTCCTTTATTTAACAACGCTCCTGAGTCATTCAGTCATAGAACCCCTTACAGTATACAAAAAATGTTTCCTTTTTTAATAGCCATTAACAGAATTGTTAACATAAAGGCAAAATTCTTAGTAGAATTTTTTTTTAAAAGGACAGATGTTAGCCCGCAGGATTTTGTATGGATGTCAGTGCTGCACCTCAATTTTCAGATAACAGATAGAATTTGAGTGGTTTGCAACTTGGAAAAAAAAATAATTGATTTATCAGAAACTCTGCTTGAAATCAAGTCACTTGTACCCATGGATTGACAATTTAAAAATACTTCAAAATTAAGAACCTCTACCACTTTTTATAAAAGTCAGCTCAATTAGCAGCAATCTTTCATAATTAGAATGTCACCTTTTCTTCTTTTGCCCAGTAGGGACTGTTCAAAAACACATTTTCTTCAGTCATAACCAAATTGCTAACGTTAGTTTTCTGTAACACGAAAAAACAGGCATGGCAAACTATTTTATATTACTATGGCATACCTTGCATATTTTGGTCTAATTACAAACTTCACAAACCACAGTTTGCTGACTGATTACAAAGAAGTGATAATTTAGAGGCCAAGTTTTAACTGAAAATGCACATTTAAACAATTGCTCTCCAAAAACAGAAGAGTGTATATTTTTCACAGGTACTTCTGGGAATATTTTTAAGTAGTAACTTTAACAACTGTAAATAAAATATGTCATATGAATGTTTTTATTCAATACAGATAAACTGCCTAAATTACAAACCTGAAATGCTTGTTCAGCACATAAAACATACAAGTCGGTGCTGAAGTTATCTGATGAGTCAAGTGCAGATTTTCCTTGACTGGCTGATTTGATCAACTCATAAGCATTCTTCAAAGCCTGAACATCTGAAAGAAAAAAGGAATACAGAATGTAACAGATAATTTATGCTTCAAGGTGGACTGACAAGACATGATTGCATTATATCAAATCAACTACACGGCATCCCGTTTCTCCTTTACAGAGATAAATTATGAATGTTTAAGGAAAATAACGTCAAACAAATGTTGTTCAAAGTCAGCCACAGTTGTAAGATGAAGCATTAACAACTCTCTTGCAATTTAAAACCACTGATGTTAGCACAGAAGAAAGCAAACTACTTTGAAGGCCCGATTCACCATTTCCTGAACTCAACAGTACCCTTTCTGTTGACACAGAAATTCGAGATTCGCTCCTTAAAGCTTTTATATGAAGTAAACTTGACTGGAAGAAAACTAGATTAAATGAAGAACGCTATAGCAGTTACTTCTTTTCATGGCTAAGATGCACGGTTAAAGCATTCAGAGAAAGAATACGTTTTCTATGTATTTAGAAACAAAACAGATTAAGATCAAGCAGTTTTCGTGTTCAAAGTGCGATTTTTATTTTACTTACTGTTAAAGACGGGCAAAACTTCGCAACCGCCTGACACCCTCTTACCTCGGCGGCTCTCAGCGGCG